AACAATTTTTCTTGCAAGGTAAGATAAACATGCGGGAAACAGTGTACAATACAACGTTTTTACCCGAGCAGGGCCTATAATTAACACAGCAAGCGCCGACAGGTCAGCTGCCGACCAATGAAGACCGGTGTGTCATCTACGCCCGGCTACACACCGTATCACTCAGTTTGGCGAATTCAGGAAGTTTCATGGTCACCAGAGTTACACATCGTAAATATTATAAATCAAGTTTGTGAATTAAATCAGATTTGTGACGATTATTGTTTCGGAAACCAGCAGACTATGAACTAATTTTATTTACAAAGGTATGCTAAGTTTTCTTACTGCGGTGACATTTTTTGCATTGATGTACGTTTATCAGAATGTCGTCTAAAAGGTTGGTAAAAAGTAAGAACACTGTCTTGCAAGTATCTTCAGCGACAACAATGAAAGATACATCAATAAGTAACCAGAAGATCAAGATGTGCATTTTTTGTAAGTACCAGCACAGTTTCGGCAACTATCTGCGACAGAGATCCTAAATATTCAAGTTATATTGAAGACTTGGTCAATAAAAAGTGGCAAAATAAAACAAAAGAATAACCTTAAAAAGTGCCACTTCTGTAAGGCATTCGGACATATTGTAAAACACTGTGTTGGGAAACAGATGTTAAAAGACAAGAAAAGATCCTTGTTTGCAAAAACTAATTCAGTTACAATGGATTCAGAAGGTATTCCTACTCTAGATTGTTCACTGTGCTACTGGAGAAAGAATCAAGGAAAAGTTACAGCTCCACATATCATTTTTATAGGAAAAAGCCAATTGAAATGTCCAGGAACACGAAATTGTTTTTCTCCAGACACCTCAAAATCAACGATTGAAACATCTCAAAATCATCAAATTCTAAGCGAAACTTCAAGACCAGCTATACAAATCGACATCAAGATCATCGAAACCAAACGTATCATAAAATAAAGAATGCGAGAATAATGAAGCATTCCGACTGTCTAAACGCAATCAAGAACAACAAAAACGTCAGTATTACATCGTGTTTACACAATTGTGATAGCTACTGTGAAAGTTAGATTGTTACATACCTAAAGTTTTGTGTAAATAAATATCAAATTAATGATGAAGTATTTTAAAAAAGTGCATAAACACCTGATTTCATTTATAAAAAACAGCCACATACTGTGTGTATTGAACACCTTCCGTTTAATTATTATTTTAAAGGTGGCATATCAGTGTATACAGTCACTGAACACTGATAATAGCATTGTGTTAACTCATTAAATTAAAGTATATTTTTAGTCAGTATATCTCTAAGATTATCAGTTCAAGCCTACCAAGAGACCCCAGAGCAGAGCAGACTGTCGAGCAAACCAAGGAATGAGAACCTTGAAAGCAAGCGCCAGAGTACAAGCAAGACACACACAGCCTGCAGGGATGGATCAAGATCAAGAATAGTTAATGGAATGAATGGGAATGAAAGAGAATAAAACAGGTATGAATGATGAATGAAAGATTTGTGGGTAGTATTTTAATAGTGTACATGTATTTAACTTAGGTTAGTAGTTCATTAGGAATAGTTTAGGATTCATGTAATGAGATTTAGTTCATTAGGAATAGTTTAGTATTCATGTAATGGCAGTAGTTCAAAAGTTTAAAAAAAAAAAAAAATCTCTCCCCAGGAACAGCCCAGAAGAATGGAATTAGTAAGATGTAGCAATAGATAATATAGGGAAAATAGTCTACGTTTTCCACTTGGAATGAGCCAAAACGTAGACTTGAAATGTACCTTGGTTTGCACCAGCTTCAACGTCTAGGGTTGACACACTAACGCCACTCAGCTTCATTGTACAATCTGTCAGTTTATTCTGGTCCATGTATTCAACATGCTTAAACAATTATTCTCAATTCTATCACTCGCGACATATTCAAACATTAACCATTCTCGCGACATAAAAACTACATCTTCAATTACTACAACCTTCTTCCCTGACTTCTGATGATCGACTGACCACGAGGCTAGCTCGGGCTTCGCCTCGCTTACTCCACCGGCCACAAGTATCTCGTGCCGTCACTTGTAGCACGGACTTCCTGCTTGCCACAATGTACTCGTGGAGACCATGCAAAGCAGGGTCATCACAGTGGTATAGCACTCTTTAATACTTATAGGTTTGTTTGTTTTTTTTAATTCTTGTTTTCTAGGTCAACGCACTGCCCAGTACCCTCCATCTGGTTTGCTTGACACATTACTGTCTTTGTTTTCTGTGTAGTGTGTATTTTAACAATTACAGTGCGCATTTTCTATTACTGGAAGCATCTTCTATTATAGTGCGCTTTTTTCTACTACAGTGCGCATTTCCAACGGCAGTAAGCATTTTTCTGTTACACTGCACGCTTTCTATTACAGTGAGCGTTTTCCATAATAGTTTTTTCTTTTAATTACAGTGTGTTTTTTCTATTGCAGTGTGCGTTTTTCTGTTACAGTGCACACTTTCTGTTACAGTGTACACTTTCTGTTATAGTGCACAATTTCTGTTACAATATATTCAGAAGATTTGTGTGTGTGTGTTAAAACCATTCTGAAATGGCTCAAAGCAGCAAACGAAGCTGTATATCCCTTTTGGATAATCCTTTATAGAGAGTGATAATAATTTTATCGACAGTTCACTGATCACAGACAGTGAAGAAAGTGATAAAGATTCTTGGGTTCAGAAAATCCCACTCAACTGTCACTGCTTCAGCCAGCATTGCTAGTATATTTATGGAAGGGTTTAAAAAGTCAGCTGCAGATCCTCTGCAGGATGTGGCAGAACTAACCCCAGCATTTTTTTTTTGGCCGTTGTGATTTTTTCTAGGCAAATTATATGTTCAGTAGTTTGTCATTTTTACTAAACTGTCAGCTCTCAGTACCGCTGTCAAAACCAACTTAAAACGAATTGTCTCCAGCTGGGATCGAACCCAGCACCCCAGCATTAGGAAGCACGTTCGCAACCCCTAAGCCAGAGATGCCAACTATGGACTGGTGCATCTCATTACTGATTGTCAATTATTGGAAACACTGGTGTGATAGGTTGGTTATTCCATGGACTTTGTTAATGCAGTTTAAGACACACGCTGAGGAAAACAAACCTTGAAGCTCAGCAGTACTGTGAGTCACATCCTAGTTTGAAGGTCAAGTTGATTTGGTTTGGATGAAAGTATGAAAAAAAAGACAAAAGTAACAAAAGATTTTAATTCTTAAACATATTTTACAAAAGCCTGGTCACAGACAGGACTTTTAAAAGAAAGAATCTGTTGATACTCATTTCTGTAATAAAGTAATGGCTACAAATATTTCATTTTCTGCTTAAAATTTTTTTCTCTGTGAGCAATATTTCATATGGCTCCTCCTGCATTGTCAGTTTCCACAAAATTCAAATTACACCCGATTCTAAAGCACATTGGGTTCTACGTTGAAGTTAGTTCATGCACCACAAAGATGAGTTGATGAGTCTATGTTGCTATGGATAGGGCACCTTGTGGTGAAGGAAGGTTGTTCTAACAAAACACAGTGACTGACATCAAGTAATAAACTACACATGAAAGAAGTTCCTAGTAAATATTTTTTTTTTCCTACACTGGGAATGACACTAATTATGGTGCTCATTATCCAATTGAGAAAATGTCTTCTAGAATAATTCTAGAGCTTGCCCTTGTCTTACTTGCTAAAGTGCTATTGGGATTGCATTGATATTCGGTTGACAAAAAAGTGTTTCCAGAGTGCCGACGCTGCTGGCACAATGCACCCTAACAAAACGAACAAACAAAAGTTCCCTGACTTAGTGAAGAAATAGAAATGAAAGAAGGTTGAGTGTATGGTGAGAAAAAAAGAGAGAAATAGATTGTGATGAAGTGGAAGAACAGTATGCATGGGGTAAACATCAGTACATTGTGTTGGAAAATGAACTCACAGAAAAATTAACTGGTGTCGCACTACTGGGTGGTGAATTGAAGCATGAGGAGCTATATGTCGGTGAGGCTGCTGGGGAGCAAGTGGATTATAGGGAAGTGCACATAGATCATCATGGTGGGGAGAGAATGCTGCAAAAGAGTGGCTAGGACAGCTAGGGATCTCAGAGAAAAAGGCGTATTGAAGTTTCCATAATATGCATTATACTCTTATTGTGTATAGTGTATATTACTTATACGTGGCACTTCTTTATCACATACTGTTCATCTCTCACAGTCTCCATCCCTCACACAGTGTCCATCTCTCATGCAGTCTCCATCTCTCACACAGTGTCTAGCTGTATTTCACACAGTCTCCATCCCTCACACAGTGTCCATCCCTCATGCAGTCTCCATCTCTCACACAGTGTCTAGCTGTATTTCACACAGTCTCCATCCCTCACACAGTGCCCATCCCTCATGCAGTCTCCATGGTGTCCATCCCTCACAGTGTCCATCACTTACACATCACTTTGTAAGCAGACGGAATTTATCTTAAACATCATTAAATGTTGAATTAAGAATCGACATCACAGAACTCGGGGCACTCCCATGAGTGCTCCATTCCCCCATCTTCTGCAGCAAGTGAAGAGTTCCAGTTCTGATGGTACCAGTAACTGTCTGATTATATATCCGTCTCATCCTTACCCTGAGTGTTGAGCGTCAGCCAGATCCCCTGGTAACTCCTCGCAGGGCCATTCTCTTTAGACCATAATGATTCATCTACGCCACCGCACTGTTCACTCATTCCCAAAGGGCCCTCACAACATCCAGCTTGTCATACATCAGTCCACAACCAAGTGGCGCAGAGCTGGCCAGTCTATCTGCCTGCTTATTTCCCAACACACTGGCATAACCTGGAGAAATATCCAAAGTCTGCTAACTACCGGGGACCTCTGAAGTGATGCTTGCCACTCTGCACAAAGCATGCCTGTTTGCACCTTTCTCAACATGAATCTGTGAGTCAATGACAATCATGGCATGTGAATGCTTACAAATCATTGTTTATATCTATACAACCCAGATGATAAAGCAGTAAATGAAGAAAGTCTGCAAGGAGTTAACTGGGATGATGAAGCAAAGGTTCTGTCAAATCTCACTTGCCTGTGCATTGTGGGCATTGAGGATCCTGTCAGAGATGAGGTGAGTACTTTACTACTTTACTGTCCATTCTTTAGATCAGTGGTTCCCAGTTTGAGGAGTCTATCATTTAGAATTTTGTGTGTGTGTGGAAAGGGGGGGGGGGGGGTGATTCTAAAATATATATTTACTCAATTTTAAAAAGTATTTTGGTTAAAAATGACTGTTAAAAGTCTGGTAATCTTAGTTTCAGCTTCATAGCAGATGGGTCACCCCATAGTTGCTCCGCTCCTGTGCCAACGAAAAACACACAGAATGTCTATCACAGTCCCTTGCTGTCTCAGCATATCTAACATACACACGCATTAAAAGCATACGGTAGCCATCCGAAGTGCTAACACAAACAGTCTGACATAAGAAATGCAGTTCATCATGGATGGTAGCAGAAGTCACCAACAGATCAGCAGTTTCACACGCGATCAATTTTAATCACTGGCACCACCAGTATTGTGATAACAGGCATCACCCCATTTTCTGATTCTACAATTCACACCCAAGGTTGGTCACAGTCGAAATACATTCCAAAAAGTCTGGTATCCATGGCAGGCCTGCAGAAAAATAATGGGGCAACAGATCTGATCTAACTGGGAACCACTGCTTTAGGCCATTTTAACATTTCTTCTACAGTATTTCTAACTGTATTTAATGTTGTCATGATTGTATTTGCTTGAGTTATAATTGTGTTTTATGGTGTCATAATTGAGTTTAATGGTGTCATGATTATAATTAATGGTGACATAATTTTATTTAATGGTGTCATGATTGTATTTGCTTGAGTCATGATTATATTTAATGGTGTTGTAATTGTACTTAATGGTGTCATGATTGTACTTAATGGTGTCATAATTGTATTTAATGCTGTCATAATTGTATGTTATGGTGTCAAAATTGTAATAATGGACTCATAAATATATTTAAGCGTGTCATAATTGTATTTAGCAGTGTCATAATTGTATTTAATGGTGTCATAATTATACTTAAGTGTGTCAGAAAAGTATTTGTGTCATAATTGTATCTAATGGTGTCATAATTGTATTTAATAGTGTCATAATTGTGTTTAATGGTGTCATAATTGTGTTTAATGGTGTCATAATTGTGTTTAATGGTGTCATAATTGTGTTTAATGGTGTCATAATTGTGTTTAATGGTGTCATAATTGTGTTTAATGGTGTCATAATTGTGTTTAATGGTGTCATAATTGTGTTTAATGGTGTCATAATTGTGATGATTTTTAATTGACCACTGCGTCTGTGTACACCCAGACTAGAATGACTGTTAGCTCTCTTAGTTAACAATTTCTGTTATCACCACACACCCCCCCCCCCCCCTTTTCCTCTCATATGCACCGACTATGACTCTCTCTCTCTCGTGTGAAAATTTGAAAGCAATCGGTGAAGAACTTTAGGAAATTAGCTAATACAACCAACGGAAATTAACATTTTTATTAATATAGATTGTCAGAATTTTTTTCATTATGTTACATATGCATTCAGTGTGATGTTGACCACATCACCCTTCACGTGCCATTGACCCCATCACCTTTCAGGTGCCACTGACCCTGTCACATTTCACCTGCCATTGACCCCATCACCCTTCAGGTGCCATTGACCCTATCACCCTTCACGTGCCATTGACCTTATCACCCTTCACGTGCCATTAACCCTATCACCCTTTACGTGCCATTGACCCTATCACCCTTCACGTGACATTGACCCTATCACCCTTCATGTGCCATTGACCCTATCACCCTTCACGTGCCATTGACCCTATCACCCTTCACGTGCCATTGACCCTATCACCCTTCAGGTGCCATTGACCCTATCACCCTTCACCTGCCATTGACCCTATCACCCTTCACGTGACATTGACCCTATCACCCTTCACGTGTTGTTAGATCTCTAAAAGTCTGGCATCATATGCCGAATATTCCACTGAAATAAAGAAGGTCCTTTACTTGACATATTCAGTGCCAGCATAATTTCCTCAGCTCTTAGTTCACTGGAATTAGTTCAGCTCTTTCCCTCATCTCCACATTTGGATGTGGCATGCTCAAACCCAATCCAGATATCTTCATCCGAATGGTCTTGGTATGAGCCTGAGATATTTAACAATATTCACTTCTCAAGCTTCGTAAACTTGTTCAGTTTCAGACATCATCATCATGCGCATCATCATCATTGCTGTCCAGTTGTGCACTGTAGTTTTCACTGTCTCTACCATTTGGTTCTGTCCTGCGCAATCCTTTTGACAGCATGGATGGAATTTAGTTATACATGCACTCTGTGCGCTACACGCTACTTGACTTTTTTTTTTTTTAAATAGAAATGGCATCCTTTCATGCAAGTTTCTGAAATTAAAAAAACCAAGAAAAAAAAAGAATTAATAAATGTACGTATTGGGAGAGCTAGCCCCATGCTCAACGTTCTTCCTTTCTCATCCAAGATTTGGCTGTTGTGACTTAAACACTTTCAGTCAAAAATGTGTTGTACTTTTGTGTCACAGTATTGGAATTTTTTTATGGGTTAAAAATTACTACTGTTGGATATTATAAATAAAAGTATTATATGGGACCGCCTGGGTTAACTTAATAGAAGAATAGGACAGAAGAAATTGAGAAATGTATATTATGTATGAAGCAATCAAGAAAAAAGAGTACAAGGCAATGACACTAACACTAATCTCTGAAACTCTGAAGACTAACGTGAATCTCTGACATGGGAGTAAAGCATGGAGAAGCACATCCATGCCACCTTTGAGACCAACATAGAAGACATTATCATCAGCTGTTCATGGAAACAATCAGTAGAGGTATCTTGGAATGGCTGCTGCATCGGAGGACTGAGCATGCATGAGAATGCCCCGTGTCCAGTGACATCGATTGTGATAACATAAAATATAATGTCCAGATTTCTGTCATCTGTTGATTTATACAGGAGCATGAAGTTCTGCTTGCATGTTTTGTTTCAGGTACCAGAAGCCATCCAGAAGTGTCAGAGAGCTGGCATCACTGTGCGGATGGTGACTGGTGACAATGTAAATACTGCTCGCAGCATCGCATCCAAATGTGGCATCTTGAGACCAGGAGAGGATGGGCTCGTGTTGGAGGGGAAGGAGTTTAATCGGAGGGTTCGAGACCAGTCAGGAGAGGTGAGTCCCATTTCTGTCAAGGCATTTGACAGTCTCACAGTTGCTGACTTCTTTCCCAAACCTTCAGACATCAGGCTGAATATAATTGTAAAAGACTAACTATTTTAATTTTTTTTTTTTTTTTTACATTTTTAGAAATTGTTAATGGGGGCGGGGGAGAGGGGTTTATTATACAGGGACTGTGATTAAAATATTTATTTCCTAATGTTTAGCTTAAAATAAATAATGGTTGTCTTATGCATGGATGTACTGTAAATATGTAAATACAGAAAAAATATGGTACTCAACTCTCTTTTTCTCTCTCTCTCTCTTTCTGTCTCTCTCTCTGTCTCTCTCTCTGTCTGTCTCTCTCTCTCTCTGTCTGTCTGTCTGTCTGTCTGTCTGTCTGTCTGTCTGTCTGTCTGTCTGTCTGTCTGTCTGTCTGTCTGTCTGTCTGTCTGTCTGTCTGTCTGTCTGTCTGTCTGTCTGTCTCTCTCTCTCTCTCTCTCTCTCTCTCTCTCTCTCTCTCTCTCTCTCTCTCTCTCTCTCTCTCTCTCTCTCTCTCTCTCTCTCTCTCTCTCTCTCTCTCTCTCTCTCTCTCTCTCTCTCTCTCTCTCTTTCTCAGTCCCTTGTCTGAAGTGCATGATGGCTAGATACTTCATTTAAAAAAAATTTAATTACATTGCCACACAGGTCAACCCGGCCTAAAATGGGTAGCACATAATGTCCTGGCATCACCTGCTAAGAATGACAGTTCATCTATAAAAACACATGAGTCTAGCATGATGTGCCCAGTGTGCCACTTGCATTACAAAAAAAGGGTCCTTATCTTGTTTTACTAACCTTTTACATCTTTTTCTTCCTGTGTGGTGACTGTTTTCTGATTGAGAAGTAGTAGCACACAATACATTGTCAGTACATTTACAGGTGAGGAGGGGGCTGGCTGTGTGGTCTCATGGCCTGGAGTTTGCCTTCAGTGCTGGAGGTCCCAGGTTCAAGCCCCAGTGAAAGCTGGGATTTTTTCACTTGGTCTTCTAGTAATTTTCCCTGGTCTCTGGGTAGTAAAGATCGGATGCCCATGTGTAGTGTTGCTCAGGTAAAAAAAAAATCCTTTGACAGTTGGAAATTGGAAAGAGTATCCTAACGGCACTGTAGGGCAAAATTTGGAGTTATAAATCTACCCAAAGTATTTTCAGGATCTTTGCCGGTGCTATAGAGTTTATGCACTGTGCTGAGATTCTTCGGACTCAGGCTTGAGTTATAAGTAGATCGGAGCACTTATGGGTTACTACCCTTGTGACTTGATGTTGATCCATTGTTTTAACCTAAACAGGTGAGTCAAGAACTGATGGACAAGGTGTGGCCAACTCTGAGAGTGTTGGCTCGCTCCACGCCTCAGGACAAGTACATACTGGTCAAGGGAATCATTGACAGTAAGCACGGCAAGACCAGACAAGTGGTCGCAGTCACTGGGGATGGTACAAATGACGGCCCTGCTCTAAAGAAGGCTGACGTTGGCTTTGCTATGGTAAGTTCTCCTAGATTTCATATTCTTAACCTGCTGTGTGCAAACATAATCTATTCACTATGTCGCGGGTGCTCGGTTGGATAGATGATTGTGTGATGACTAGGAGTTTTACTCTCAACACTCCACCTCCACCAGAGAAACTGGACTAATATCCGAGCTATGTGGATCTCAAAGTCCTGAAGACAAAAACAATATTGAGCTTGTCCTGTAAATCTAACAGCAGCTGCAGTTGGTACCTACAGGAGAAGGAAAGGTGTGTGTGTTTTAAACAAATAAGAACAAATACACTTGGACAAACAAAGTAGTATAATACTTGAAAGTGTGTTTTAACTTTTTGAGTCCCAGTGGGTTTAGCATCAGAGGCCCAAGGGGATAATGCAATTTTTCAATTTCACAAGTGTAACATATTAAAACAGAACATTCAATTGCCGCGCAACATACACATACATCACAGTGACCAGGAATTGTTGCGGAATAATTATAGAATACAACTACAATAAATAATTGCATTAGTAGTTAAATATTAGTAAATAAACAGATTGTTTGTTTACAAAAATTAGTAAAATGAAATTTAAAAATTTTTCCAAAATGATTCACAAATGAATATGAACCACTTAGTAATGTGTAAGTAAAATATAAACTCATCTATACATTAGATTTTGTTTTAGAAGAATCTTTTGAAGCATCATAAGAGAGCACCATTATTTAATAAAGAAAACAGACTCCCAAAACACACAAAAAACGAAGTTTATATAAGACTCAATTTGCCTTTATTTTTGTAATCATGTTCCTAAATAATAGGGGGAATAGCATTAAAACTAACTGACACTGAAGAAAACCATTTTTCCACAAATGTTATATATTTGTGCCAGCTGACTTTGCTATCGTTGTACCCTTCATGTGAGGTACACATTAGACATATCCTTCATCAAAGTTTAACTCTATAAATGACTGAAATACGTCTAATTCACAACGTTATCTATCTAACTTCGGATAATCTAAAAAAAAAAAAAAAAACTCACCTTATTTAAATTTGAGGCTTCTAAAGCCATAAATTCATGTTGGCATGCATGTAGAATACTGCTTGGTGGCCATATTTTTTTCAAACAAACACTTAGTAACTCTGCAAACCTTGCAAATATACTATATTTTCGGCTTTCAAACCACATTTCTTAATGAGCACACCTGATATCAGACACAAAGAACTTGAAAGGAAGTTGAAATTGGGCGGTTTGCGTTTCAATTATGGGTCAGTGGTGGATTAAAAACTGTCACTTGTCACGTGTCGCTTGGGCTATGCGGTTGTAACAAAGGAACGAAGTGCGCTACCTAGATCATTTTAACAGTAACTCAGTGACTGGCTAATGATATGGTGGTAGTGAACTGAGCAAAATAAAAAAAAATTTCAAGTACTCAGACCTGACCCAAAAACAAAAAAACTAATCCTGGTCAAAGATTACATAATATTACCAGTCAGTCCAGATTTGAAAATTAGATATATAGCACTTTCAATTGCAAGCAAATAGACTAGCTGCTGCCACTCTTCTAGGCAGTGAGCTTCTTTGACAAAGATGACATGGTAAAGTCAATGGCACAACAGAATAAACCGAGCGTGCAAATCTGGAGAGAAGGATTCAGTTGGGAGTAAGCACTGAATCTGGAGAGAAGGATTCAGTTGAAAGTGAGCATTGAATCTGGACGATTGTCTGCCTGCAGGGGAGAGAACAGGCAAACATTTATTCAGATTAAAACTGGCATCATTTGCGTATGAATTCCTCTTTGGCTACTGAGGAAGGGGATGGAGCGCATATGGGAATGTCCTAAGTGCAGAGGTGTCAGTTGTTGATTCATTTATTCATTGATAGTTTCAAGTGAAGACGTTTAATGTTTTCAAAAGTCAACTGCCATATACGAATACCAGCATTAGAGAGAAAGTCAAAAAAAGACCATGGCTGGATATTGTTGATAAAGAATGAAATGGTTTGATCATCTAGTGAGAATGCGGCCAGACCAAACTGCATATGAGACTTTTCTACAGCATGACATGTGGGAGGAAGGCGAAAGAAAGAACAAGAAAGAGATGGATGAATGGTTTAGCAGAAACCTGCAAAAAATGAACAAATCCATCACCTGATGGACAAATACCACGACACTGGGCTACAACCTGATATCAGTGAGATGATGACAAAAAGAAGACTGCCAAGTATAAAGACTTCATATGTACAGATTTTTTTTTTCCACAGGGCATTTCTGGCACAGATGTGGCCAAAGAGGCATCAGATATCATTCTGACAGATGACAACTTCACTAGCATCGTTAAGGCCGTGATGTGGGGACGGAACGTCTATGACAGTATAGCCAAGTTCTTGCAGTTCCAACTAACTGTTAATGTTGTGGCTGTCCTGGTGGCATTCTTCGGTGCCTGTATTATAAATGTAAGTGGATGCATATCATTTACACCTAGTGCTTCTGACAAAATTGTTGTTTGGATACATTTTTAACTCTTGACTATTAAAACTGGTGGTATTCAATGTGTTTTTTTTTCACTGTGGTTTCCCCCACCCCCCTCCCCCCTCCCCCTCTACCTTTTACCCCTTCCACCCCCCCCCACTTTTTTTAAATGTATACCTAGAAAAAAATGTACCATATATACTCTAGACATCTATCTCAACCTTCCTAATGCCGTGACCTTTTAATACCATCTTTGTGTTGTGACCACACTATTAGTTTCATCGCTACTTTATAAAATCAGTGAAAATGTGTTTTGCGATGAGGTTTGGCGACCTCTATGAAAGGGTAGTTCAACCACAAAAAAAGGGTTGTGATATATATATATATGTATATATGTGTGTGTTGTGTTTCTCTGTCTTTCTATGTATCTACATGTACGTCTGTCTATATACCATCTGTGTGTTTGTTGTCATATAAGTCATTCACAACTGATGTCCATTACTGTAGGCCTTCTGCTTGTCTGTCCATAGTATCACATGTCAGTTTAAAATTCTTCCTTTCTCTTTCTACTGTCCTCCTACAGGTTTCCTTCTAATCATCCTTGTTTCCTTTTCCCATCTGCCACCCCCTGGAGAGTTGTCCTTGCCAAAGTGTCCTGATACGTCTGTAAATAAGACCAAGTCATTTTCTTTTTCTTCCTCTGATAAAAGTTTCCAGGGATGATTATGAATATTTTTCTGCTTTGTTATTTTATCTCAATTCAGTGAGCTTTCTGTAGTTTTGTTCATTTCCTTTTTTTTTTAAATAATGTGAACACAAGCAATACATTGCATGACTTATTGGCCGGCATATTTTGCTGAATCTCGTGAGGTGCTTCACAACAGAATTAAATCAAAATCTGAAGCCCACACACACACACATAAAAGAAATGCCTTTCAATAAATTACACAAATTTACTATACATCTTTCTACCAGAAATTTAAGATTAGCCATGTGGTTATCATGGTAAAAATTTGAAGTTTATCCCATGTACTTTCTGTTTACACAAAGCAGGAAAGTTCATTTGTATTTTACAGCTTTGGACAGTTTTAGCAAATGTCTGTTGATTGTGTGATTAAAAACACCACATGCTTGGATTCAAGCGTATGATATCATGTTGCTGAAACAGATTCTTTCCTTTTTGTTTATCTTGACACAGATTTCCTTCAAGATTTCACCAAATTAAATATAATAGGAATGATATCCTGAGAGTTGCCGTGGCTTTGGCAGCTAGAAGTCCGCCTGCAGATCGGAAGGTCGTGGGTTCACTTCCTGATGGAACCAAACTTTTTTTCATAAATGACCTTGACTCCTAGGTCGACCCAGCCTTGAGTGGGTACCAGGTGCAGTCTTTCTGGGAAGAAAAGGGGAGCTAGCGTGATGTTGACCACATCACCCATAAAATGCCGATTGGCCTATAAAAATATAGGTCTAGCCATATATTGCCAATACGCCTAAATATGTACTTTGTATAAATGAGCTTGAGTCTCATGCCCTCTTTTTTCTGTCTGCTGGAAATAGGACAGTCCATTGAAGGCCATTCAGATGTTGTGGGTGAACCTGATTATGGATACCTTGGCGTCCCTTGCCCTAGCCACAGAGCTGCCTACAGATGAGCTTCTGCGCCGCAAGCCGTACGGTCGAACGAAAGCCCTCATTTCCCGCACAATGGCCAAGAATATTATTTGGCATGCTATCTATCAACTGGTCGTCATTGCTGTCTTATTGTTTGAAGGTTGGTGGCCTGTGTGTGATAAATGCTTGTTGTCTCTACAAGGCAGGGTGAAGGGTTTTTTGTCTAGAGCAGAAGATATTGGTTTGATGTTGTCTCTACAAGGCAGGGTGAAGGGTTTTTTGTCTAGAGCAGACGATATTGGTTTGATGTTGTCTCTACAAGGCAGGGTGAAGGGTTTTTTGTCTGGAGCAGACGATATTGGTTTGATGTTGTCTCTACAAGGCAGGGTGAAGGGTTTTTTGTCTAGAGCAGAAGATATTGGTTTGATGTTGTCTCTACAAGGCAGGGTCAGGTTTTTTTTTTTTCAACTAGAACAAAAGTTATTGGTCCCCACTACAAAGTGTCTGTTACAGTAGTGGTGATGAAAATGAGGTATTTTGTTATGAGCCACACAAGTGCAGGGGCTACATGCTTACCTGGTGGAATAATGGCCTTGATTCAACATTACATCGAGGTAGATTTTTGATTTATGGGCTTCTAGGTCTTACATGGTTACCAGGAAATGTCTGCAGAAATAAAGGTGGCTGGAGGGATATTGACTACATCACCCATAATGGCCGATTAGCCTAGAAAATGTGGGTCTAATATGCCAATGACACAAAAAGGGCCCCTTTGCTTTACTTCTTTCAGTCTGCCAACGCAGTGGTGATAAATATTTTTTTAAGTAGAGGACCCTTTTCCACAGCTTCAGGCAGATTAGGCATATAAGGCTAAACATGTATTTTGTAGATCAATCGGCATTCGGTGGGTAATGAAGTCAACATCACACCACCTGCTTTACTTCCTGGTAATTTACTTGGCTACCCATTTGAGGCTGGTTTGACCTGATAGCCAAGGTCATTTTTGAAAACTTTTAAAAAGTCCAGCTCCTTCAAGACCTGAACCCATGACCTTCAGATATGCAGGCGAGCAGCACGGATACTCCACATTAAACTGTACATCTGTACAACAACCCTGGGTGGAGGAGAAAAGATTGTCCAGAAAATAATAATTCTGTCCCATCATATAGCCACACATCTGTATTGTTTAGGGATGTCTCATTCAGTCTTGATTGGTCCAGATCCATATTAGTGTGTGTGTGTGTGTACACACACAGAAATGTAACTATATGTGTGGTTCTGGTGTACACATATTTGATCTTTGCCTACTGGACTGATGATGTACCCCTTGTGAGGTGAGTGAAAGAAGATGCAATCACTTGTGGAAGCCCCATAATTTAATAAAGTTAATCTTTTAATTTCTTCTTCTTCTTCTTCACCGTGCTCACCGGCTGTAAACTCTGATGAAAAGTTCTGGCTGTTTGTCCACTTCTGGACTCTAGTCAGATTCCAGAACCTGAGTTTGGCATGCACATCCATTTTACAGTTCTGACTCATTTTTATGCAGACTGCTGGTTCCTTGCACTCTGACTTCAAAGGCAACTTCCAATTAGTCAAATCTTACGACATGCTTTTGGGTAAGCTGTGGGTCTATTCTTGTTTTCCCCATAATGGGGCCCTGGAACCCACACAGGGAATCCTTATATTTGAGTTTTGGCTGGTGCAGTTTAAAGTATCTTTATTTGGGGGGAATCAGTTGCAAGGTGGCCTTACACCCTGGAAGTTGTGGGCTCATATTCAAACTTTGTTTTTCTGCTTGTGAGTCCATGCTCTCTCTCTCTCTCTGTCTGTCTCTCTGTCTGTCTCTCTCTCTCTCTCTCTCTCTCTCTCTCTCTCTCTCTCTCTCTCTCTCTCTCTCTCTCTCTCTCTCTCTCTCTCTCTCTCTCTCTCTCTCTCTCTCTCTCTCTCTCTCTCTCTCTCTGGCTGATGGCATTCCAGAAGAAATCAGGGAGGACATGCATCACATCACCTCCTTCAGAGAGGCCTTTAGCTTTCTCATCTGAAAGCCACTGGCGGGGAGAGTAACAGGAAGAAGAAGATAACCGTGAGGGTCATTACTGGAAAGTTGTATACCCTCTGAGTGGGCCAATAACCTCTCTTTGGACAGAGAGCTGGGTCATATAAGATATAACCCAGTGTCAGCAAAGTAAATCAGGAAAACAGAATAAATGGTAATGTAGCATCAAAGTTAATGGGACAATCCTCATGCAGGTTGATATGTTTAAGCTGATGGAATATGTATTAGAGAAGTTCAGTGTAGAAAAGCTCAAGCACATTTTACAAAATGAAGAATATTCTGTGCAATCTTTTCTTGTCAGTTGAGATGAGAAAAAGAATTATCAAAAGCTGTGTAAATCATGTCCTGGTATATGGTGGTGAATAATGACATTTGGACAATTAGTGACAATTGTCCAAAAGTGGCTGAGATGTGGTTTCATAGACAAATTATGATAAAAATTGGGACAAATTAAAAAAGAGTAATGAAGATGTCTTGAAGGAAACTTGCACCGATGTTGCTCTTGGCCAAAAGTTTTGCCTTGATGTGTTGTATTAGGGACAGTCTTGGAGGACATGATCTGTTTTCTCAGGTGCCAATCCACATGTGCACATGGCTGATTCACCGGTTTAAAATTTTGTGTACATGCAGCTGTGAAGTCGATTGTGTCCTTTTCTAATGCATAGAATAATAACTTGCTCTGGTCTGTCCATAAAATGCTAATGGTCTTGTGCCGGTTTTGGTGGCTTTCTGATTGATTTGATTATTCTCTTATTTTGCTGATAAGAGACTGGTACTTCAGGTTGTTCTTCATTTGCGGGAAACTGACTTACAAAGGTAACTGATTGCCCACATCAGAAGGGGACAATCTACATTTTGTGGTTCTGTCATGAAAAGGAGAAAACTAGAGTACATCTTGATGATGGGATGCTAGAGGGGAAAAGAGGCAGAGGTAGACCGTGAGAGAAGATACTGGATAGAAGATACATGGCATAGAAATTTACCTGTCTCAGAACTGATTGAAAGTACACAAGACAGAAGTTTATGGATAGACATAACTACCAGCGCCACACGGCATGAACTAAAAGATGAAGAATAGAACTGATCCGATTGTCTTTAGACACTTTTAATGTTTAGTTTCTTTAAAGATATGTATCTGTCTACTTTACAGGTGCCAAGCTGTTAGATGTTGATGACGGTATTAATGACATCGAGGATGTCCATGCACCACCCTCTGTACACTTCACAATGATCTTCAACACATTTGTTTTTATGACCTTATTCAATGAGGTCAATGCACGCAAAATCCACAATCAACATAACATCTTTGAAGGCATCTGCACCAACCCTATCTTCATTGGCATCTGGTTTGGAACTGCCTTTGCACAGGTAGGGTTTACAGTGACTAGTTAACACCAAGGCAATGTTTTATTGTCATAGCCAGGGCTGTAGTTAGGTTGTGTGACGTCCTGTCCAGTACTGGGTCAGTACAAGACAGTCATCTCAAAGAAACATCTCATACAAAGCGTATTCCTTCCCACTCTAATGCTACCAGTGCCAGACGTGGTCACTCAACAACAAACCAGAGAAGACAATCAGTAACCATGGAAATGAGATGTTTGAGAAGTGCTGCAGGAGTGACCAGAAAAGATAAAATTAGGAATGTGGTCATAAGAGAAAATGTTGGCACAGAACCAATTATTAATTACGTATCATCACTAATCAGCAAGTCCTTTACAGAACATTGCTCTCTTCGCGGCATGCCTGAAAGTATCCCTTTCCCTAGCCAGCTCTCTAGCCCCATGTGCTTTCAATGCCAATGCTTCTTCAATATCCTGTATCCATCTTTGCTGTGGTCGACCCCTGCCTCGCCTTTCAGAAACTGCACCCTCCATCACCGTCTTTTGCAAGCCACCCTGACGCTTGATGTGGCCAAAATACTTCAACTTTCGGGACAGGATGCTGTTTATGAGCCAGTTCTCCTTGATGTTCAACTCGTTCAGAATGTCGATGTTTTTCCTCTTCCTGATCCATGGTATTCTGAGAATTTTTCTAAAACATTTCACTTCAAAAGCTCCAATATTTTTCCTCAGTTACCGAGTGAGAGTCCAAGACTCACAACCATAAGTTGCCACAGGAACAATGCATGATCTCAAGATTTTTACTTTAACCAATTACATATAAAGACAGCAAATCAAATGGTTTGCTTCCTTAGAGAGAATGCATTGTGATGCCCTACCCTAGCAAGCATAGGCCAAGAAAAGAAGGACGTAGCACAAGGCAGACCAAGAACAAGATGGAAAGATAACATCAGAGAAACTACAACAAAACGATGTGTATATGATCGAGATGGCCAGAAGTGCAGAAATACAGAATGTTATGATTTGGGTTATCTTCACAGCACTCCGGACATGTTAAGATTCCCCCTTCAACATATACATCAGCTTCCCATGGTTAATAGTGCCAGTCCTGTACTGATTAACAAGACTTCTTGTATGTTTGGTGTGCCTCTCATGCTTAGCTATGCTGATCTTTACTGCCTATTCTCATATTCTTAGCAGTGATGTGGACACGCTGCTCCTAAAATCCTTAAACCTTATACTTAACACTGCGAATTTGAATCTTAAACCTATATTTTTCCCATCAGCTCTTGTACTCAGGGTTATTGCTGTCAACCCTTGAACTCATGGTTGTTTGCCATAAGCCTTGAACTGAGGGTTGTTGGCCTCAGTCCTTGTATTCAGGGTTGTTTGCCATCAACCCTTGTACTCAGGATTGTTGCCATCAATCCTTGTACTCAGGGCTGTTTGCTATCAATCCTTGTACTCAGGGTTGTTGCCATCAGTCTTTGTGCTCAGGGTGGTTTGGCTGCCTCACTACACAGCTCACATCAATCTATAATGAAGCTCTAAAGATTATTCCTATTCTCTGAAATACACAAGTCAGAGTTTTTCTCATTACACTGTATACATTTACGTGTAAGTCTAAAATTAACAATGTGATCCTTTTGTTTACATAATTAAATAAGTATATGATAACTCAGAAACCACAATCCCAATCTATGAGCCTTGAGTCTAGCAGTAGACCACCTTTTGAAGACTTGGACTTATTCCTTCTGGTTGATATGATAGTCAACACTACAACTAGCCATAAGTTAGCCAGCGATGTCTCGGCAGTTAAGCAAAGACCACATCTTTGGTAGTCAGGTAGTCACATATCCGACTTCATAGCAAACGGGTCACATCATAGTTGGCCCATTTCTGTACCAGTAAAACCATACAAAATGTCCATCACTACCCCTTGCAGAAAATATGTTGAATTAAGAATCAACATCATAGCGCTCGGGTACTCCCATAAGCGCTCCATCCCCATCTGCAGCAACAAGCAAAGAGTTCCAGTTCTGAGGTCACCAGTAACTGTTTGATTGTATATCTATCTCACCCTTCCCTTGAATATTGAGTGTCGGCCAGATCCCCTGATAACTTCTTGCAGTGCCATTCTCCTCTGACAGTAATGTTCTATCTGTGCCTCCTCACTGTCCACTCACTCCCAAAGGGCCCTCACAACATCTAGCTTGATTCTTGCAGGGAATAAAATCAGACTGTAATCACAGCAAATTCAGTAGCCTACACATGCATCAGATGCATAAGGTTTGCAGTCAGAAGTGTCAACACAAACCATCCAACACCAGAAATTCAGCTCATCATTTCACATCCCAGTTATTGTCAGAGAAACTTCTGTCTTCACCAGGTTATCATCATTGAGTTTGGAGGTGTGGCTTTTCATACAACTGGCTTGAATGCATCTCAGTGGCTGTGGTGTGTGTTTCTGGGCTTTGGTACCTTGCTGTGGGGACAGGTGAGTCCATCTGCAGGAGGGCAGTCAATGTCCAGTTCTCATGATGAGTGTATATGTACGAGAGGTGTTCAGAAAGTAATGTCCCACATTTGTTCCCCCCTGAAGAGAGAAACAGGGAATTTGTCAGTTGACATTTTGAAATGTATATATTGCATGTATGAATGACAACACATTCTCAGTATTGTGTGCGTGAATGACAACATATTCTCTGTATTGTATGTATGAATGACAACACATTCTCAGTATTGTATGTATGAATGACAGCACATTCTCAGTTTTGTATGTATGAATGACAACACATTCTTAGTATTGTATGTGTGAATGACAACACATTCTTAGTATTGTGTGTGTGAATGACAAGACATTCTCAGTATTGTGTGTGTGAATGACAACACATTCTTAGTATTGTGTGTGTGAATGACAACACATTCTCAGTATTGTGTGTGTGAATGACAACACATTCTTAGTATTGTGTGTGTGAATGACAACACATTCTCAGTATTGTGTGTGTGAATGACAACACATTCTCAGTATTGTGTGTGTGAATGACAAGACATTCTCAGTATTGTGTGTGTGAATGACAACACATTCTCAGTATTGTGTGTGTGAATGACAACACATTCTCAGTATTGTGTGTGTGAATGACAACACATTCTCAGTATTGTGTGTGTGAATGACAACACATTCTCAGTATTGTGTGTGTGAATGACAAGACATTCTCAGTATTGTGTGTGTGAATGACAAGACATTCTCAGTATTGTGTGTGTGAATGACAACACATTCTCAGTATTGTGTGTGTGAATGACAACACATTCTCAGTATTGTGTGTGTGAATGACAACACATTCTCAGTATTGTGTGTGTGAATGACAAGACATTCTCAGTATTGTGTGTGTGTGAATGACAACACATTCTCAGTATTGTGTGTGTGAATGACAACACATTCTCAGTATTGTGTGTGTGAATGACAAGACATTCTCAGTATTGTGTGTGTGAATGACAACACATTCTCAGTATTGTGTGTGTGAATGACAAGACATTCTCAGTATTGTGTGTGTGAATGACAAGACATTCTTAGTATTGTGTGTGTGAATGACAACACATTCTTAGTATTGTGTGTGTGAATGACAACACATTCTCAGTATTGTGTGTGTGAATGACAACACATTCTCAGTATTGTGTGTGTGAATGACAACACATTCTCAGTATTGTGTGTGTGAATGACAACACATTCTTAATATTGTGTGTGTGAATGACAACACATTCTCAGTATTGTGTGTGTGAATGACAACACATTCTCAGTATTGTGTGTGTGAATGACAACACATTCTCAGTATTGTGTGTGTGAATGACAACACATTCTCAGTATTGTGTGTGTGAATGACAAGACATTCTTAGTATTGTGTGTGTGAATGACAAGACATTCTCAGTATTGTGTGTGTGAATGACAAGACATTCTCAGTATTGTGTGTGTGAATGACAAGACATTCTCAGTATTGTGTGTGTGAAGGACAAGACATTCTCAGTATTGTGTGTGTGAATGACAACACATTCTCAGTATTGTGTGTGTGAATGACAACACATTCTCAGTATTTGGTGTGTGAATGACAATACATTCTCAGTATTTGGTGTGTGAATGACAATACATTCTCAGTATTTGGTGTGTGAATGACAATACATTCTCAGTATTTGGTGTGTGAATGACAACACATTCTTAGTATTTGGTTTGTGAATGACAACACATTCTCAGTATTGTGTGTGTGAATGACAACACATTCTCAGTATTGTGTGTGAATGACAATACATTCTCAGTATTGTTTGTATGAATGACAACACATTCTCAGTATTGTATGTATGAATGACAACACATTCTCAGTATTGTATGTATTAATGACAACACATTCTTAGTATTGTATGTATGAATGACAACACATTCTCTGTGTTGTAGGTATGAATGACAACACATTCTCAGTATTGTATGTATGAATGACAACACATTCTCAGTATTGTATGTATTAATGACAACACATTCTTAGTATTGTGTGTGTGAATGACAACACATTCTCAGTATTGTGTGTGTGAATAACAACATGTTCTCAGTATTGTGTGTGTGAATGACAACACATTTTGTAAAACGAGTTTAAGAGAAGGAAAACTGTCAAGCATTACTTTCTGAATACCCCTTGTAATTGTTGTGTGTGTAAAGGTTTTTTAGTGCTAAATAAATCCTTATATATTGAAATAAATCATGGACAATCAGTCAATTAATGAAAAATTATGTGGACACTACAGCGACATGGTCACTACTTAATCCTCCTTACATTTATTTAATTCCTAATTATGAATATTTGAGAGAGTTTTTAACATCTTTATAACGCCAGTCTTGATTTACATAAATAAATCATAAGAAATATAACGAACACAGAACAAAGGCAAGACTCCCTAGCAATGGACGATGGTCTCAAGAACAACCAGCTCAGAGAAATTAAGACTTACTGACACAGTAAGTTAGAGGAGCATACAGATGTTCTTTGCATGTCTGTCCATACATTTTGCTGGGATAACTTAGAGAGAAAAAGAGAAGGAAAAATATTTTAAAAATGTGAAATCATGAATTAATTTAGCTTCCTGTATGAATCTTTCAACTACAGTGAGAAGACAATGTTGAAGGTTGAATAAATAAACAACATCACAGCACTCGGGACACTCCCATAAGTGCTCAGTCCCCATTTTCAGCAGCAAATAACGAGTTCTAATTCTGATGGTACCAGTAACTGTCTGGTTGTATATCCGTCTCATCCTTCCCCTGAGTGTTGAGCGTCGGCCAAATCCCTGGTAACTTCTCACAGCGCCATTCTCCTTAGACCGTAATGATCTATCTGCGCCTCCGCACTGTTCACTCACTCCCAAACAGCCCTCACAATATCTAACTTGTCATACATAAATTCACCACGAAGTGGTGCAGAGCCAGCCAGTCTATCTGTCTGCTCCTTTCCCAACACACTGGCATAACCTGGATAAAATATCCAAAGGATGCTAACTACCCGGAACCTCTGAAGTGATGCTTGCCAGTGAAAAGACATAAAATGCAGAGGTATGGACATGAAAAAAAAGATCTGATGGCCTCTCAAAAACTATACTACAGGGCTCAGTAGAGGGGAAGAGGTATAGAGGCATACCAAGAAAGATCTGGATACAGAATTTGGCTGACTGGACTGGCCTTAGGCATGCAACCATGAAGTCCAATGCAACTGACCCTCAAAGTTAAAGGGAGCTGATCAGACAGTTAGCAGCAGTTGGTGACCCAACGACATGCAGTGTTACCTGATGATGTTAAAAATGATGATGATGAAAATGTTGTCTTAATTGGGATTTTTCAAGAGCACGGTTTGAGTTTCTGATAAATAATTTTGTAATTCTGATCAAAATGATGTTTGCTACCCACAGATAGCAACACTGATTCCAGACAGTGTTGTGCCAACAATGAGATGGTTCAAGAAGTCTGCAAAGGAAGAAGAAGATGAGCATGATGTTGGTGAAATGGATGAAGACCCAGTCAGTGGACGAGGGCAGATTCTCTGGGTGCGGGGTCTCACTCGTTTACAGCAGCAGGTAAGTGTCTGTATTGTGGCTTCTCCAGCGTTGGATTTGTTTACTTATTGTATTACTTCCTCAGTTGTTTGGACTTCAACCTTACCTCCATGAGTTAATGTTAGTATCCCCATCTGTTACATACTCTTGCCTCTGTGAAATATTTTGTGACATGAGTTACCAGTATGCAGTTAGATCTGCAGTATATTTAAGCCTGAGCTTCTAAAATGCCATTTTTTCTAATATTCCATATATCTGTATTCGTATGGCAACACCGAGTTATGTGTTGGTGGCTGCAGATTTACTTCACAAAATGGCACATGAAACATTCAGAATAGTTACTCAGTGTCTCGTGTTATTCCATAGTTACTTTATGTCTAGTGATATTCCAGAGTGTTTTGTTTTATCTTTAGCAAGAGGTTCTTGAATGGTTGTTCTACTATTCCACATTAGTGGTCAACTGGCAATGTGGAGATTTTAAATGGCTGCTGATCTTCTTCACAAAATATTCTGGAAGTCTTCCATTGCAAATTTAGAATATATATCTGCCCATAATCTTCTCAAATGCCCATTGCTCTAATGCTCTGTGAATTTTAACAAGGAAGACACAAACAGTAGATTGCACAATTTATTGCCTGGCATTTTTCACTGTATCTTGTCAAGTGCATACCAGTCGATTTTGTGTTTCAGTTAAAAGGATTCATTTATTTGCTTCATTTTAATCACTTGCTACTATAGTATACACCTGACAAGATACAGTCAAATATGCCAGGTAATAAATTGTGCAATCTATTGCTTGTGTCAGTGTGAGATTTATTTCAGCTTTTGCATCTTAAAATATCTATTGCATTATCTTCAAGAACAAGTTGATCCTGGGTAGTGATTTCAGAAAAGCTGTATCCTTGTTTCTTAATTTGCTGGACACTGCAGTTTATGAGTTTTAATTCTTTATCTTGTTCACAATTACTATCAGCTTCTGTTTTGCCATTAAGTGTCATGGGTGCAAGGTGTTGTTCCTAGAATAATCTTTTTGATGCTTTCATTTCTTCCTTGGTCTTGGATTGTTGTTATTCAAGTGACTTTCCTAAGGCATCTCATCTCACAAATAGTAGTTTTATGAAAAGGACTGTTTGATAATGCCCAGGTTTGGCACTTGTAGAACAGTGCTAGCATGGATATGATGTTGATATTCTTTTTCTTGGTAGTAATTATTAAGTTTGTATGGCTTAATAGCAGTACCATTTGGTTTTTATATATATCTTCATCTAGTCTATATCTGATTCCTCTTCATAAAATTGGTGAAGTAAAATTGATTCCTTCATGTGTCCTAGAAGAGTAATATGGGATCTAAATTTCTATTTTGATTCTCTGCAGTCACAAAAGTATTATTGGTTGAAAGTGGATTTTAGTCTATCATATCAAAACGAAACATGCATCAGTTACCTGTATTTATAATATGGGATCTAAATTTCTATTTTGATTCTCTGCAGTCACAAAAGTATTATTGGTTGAAAGTGGATTTTAGTCTATCATATCAAAACGGAACATGCATCAGTTACCTGTATTTATAATTTGCCTGTTTTGTTGACATTATGTTTATGACATTATGTTGGTTTAAAGTTTTTAAAGTTATTGCCTGAGATTAATTTTTTAATTTAAATGTCTGTGAATGCACACATCATTGCTTTACATTTAGGGTCCTCCCTGAAGTGTAGGCTTGCTCTGGCCCTTTTCATAAGATCTGTGTGTATTATCATTACTGTTACAGTGATGGCCAGACATTTGAGAGCACCTAGTAAATAATGGGTATTTCCATACTGTTAAGGAGGGGTGCATGAACTGCTGTTTTATGACAGAATGATGCAGAGGTGTCTTTAGCGGGTGCAGGACTCTACAATCATCTTCATCATGTAGCAGGTCCTTTGCAGGATGTCGGTCATCACGGCCTGCCCGAGAAAAACTCAGTCTTTCACCAGCTTTCCTGCCTCGTGCATTTTTATATCCAAGAAGTCATATCCTGTGTCCATCTTTCTGTTGGTCGGCCCCTGCCTCTCCTTCTGGTACCATGCCTTCTGCTTTTTTTTTTTTTTTCAATCCAAAGTATATCCAAAATATTTCGGCTTCCAAGATAAGATGATGTTCAAGAACCTATTCAATTGGTCCTTAAATAGCAGTGGGTGTAATAAACTGGAACAGTAAAGAAACTAAATTACTATCTCTACGGTCTTAAACGTTTGGCCACTGCTGTCTTATCATTCTAAATAAATGAAGTTGAACATTGATATTTACTAACTGTTGGTATCCAGTTTCAGATATTGTTTGAAATTCAGCATGATATGATTGAAAACTTGTTAAACAATGTTTACCCCCTCCCTTTCTTTGGTTGAAGTCTGTTTGTTTGATTGTGTTATGTGGGTTGGTTTGTCTTTATTCAAGTATACTCTTATTGTCAGGCAAGATTTTGTTTTCTTTCTTTGCCTTTGCCTTTTTTGTTTTTGTTTTTGTTTTGGGATGCTTGCTTCCTTTGATTTGTTATTTATGATTTCATTGTTGATAGATAGCAGTGCTTATAATTATGACCATGTCTTGTTGCTTTTGCTAACCTGACCTTACACTTTTATTCATAGGTAGAGAGTCTGGATTTTGTCTCATAAACTAGGGTGATCATAATATTTTGAGCTGAAAACAGGACATTGCGTTAATATTTTGAGCTGAAAACAGGACATTGCGTTAATATTTTGAGCTGAAAACAGGACATTGCGTTAATATTTTGAGCTGAAAACAGGACATTGCGGTAATATTTTGAGTTGAAAACAGGACATTGCGTTAATATTTTGAGCTGAAAACAGGACATTCTAAGCAAGTCAGTTAGACAATTCGGCTTTTTTCTAGGGCACTGACGGAATTTATGAATTATTCATTTGACAATGGTCTTAAAACCTCAAACAATTGTTACCAAGAAATAATAAATGAAACTAATGAAACTATAGGCTCTTTAACTACACTGAACACACACACAAGTGCTACAGTGAAACTTCCCATCACTACATCTAAGGCTATGAAAAGTATCTGTTCTAGTGTATGTTCTGTACTAGTGTATGTTCTGTTCTAGTGTATGTTCTGTTCTAGTGTATGTTCTGTTCTAGTGTATGTTCTGTTCTAGTGTATGTTCTGTACTAGTGTATGTTCTGTTCTAGTGTATGTTCTGTTCTAGTGTATGTTCTGTACTAGTGTATGTTCTGTTCTAGTGTATGTTCTGTTCTAGTGTATGTTCTGTATTAGTGTATGTTTTGTTCTAGTGTATGTTCTGTTCTAGTGTATGTGCTGTATTAGTGTATGTTTTGTTCTAGAACTTATTCCTTTTTATAAAACAGGACACTTGGCATTTTTTGTCAAAATACTGGCCAGTAGAGACCTAAAAAACATGATTGTCCTGCTAAAAACAAGGCGTATGGTCACCCTACTCATAACATAACATAAGATACCAACATAACAAAGAATGGAAGAACTTAGAGATATTATGTTTCATTTGAGATGTTGCAGTACTTTTGTCATGTCTCATGGTTTGTTAACATGATGTTGTGTGTAATTTCAGATTATACAGCATTAGTGTTTTCTGATGTCCTGTTGACAAAACAAAAGATATTAACAAACTTTGTGACAGTGTGCATCATTAAAGTTTTGTAGCAATAGTATTGTATCCTGTGTAGGTAACAAAATAAGAATCGCTTATGAACTTTGCGTTATTTTTCATGTTTTAACACTGGCCACAACTTGTGCTTTAACCCTACCAGACCTGAGGCCCTGAACCTAACTGTCCCCTATACCTGGGCATTAACACGAAAAAACCAACATGATGTACAAAAAAATTAGTTACATGCAAAAAAAGTAGTAACAATAAGATGAAACTTGGAGACATTGTAGAAAATAGGTTTACCTTTCATCTAGCACTAATATTCCTCCTATATGTGCCAATTTATATGTGTTTAGAAACTTAAAGTCCCCATATGGGTTCTGGGGCCCTGTTTTAGGGGGGAAAAATATACCCCCCCCCCCCCACCCCCCTTCAACAGGCATGTTGTAAGAGTCAACTCATTAGGGGTGTTTCTTTCAAAGTTGGAGTGAGTTTGCCTAAGAGTCCTCATCAACAGTCCTCATAAAAATAGGCCAGATCTGTAAAATGGATATGTGCGCAAAACTCAAATTCTGAAACAAAACTATAGTTCAGAGGAGAACGAACAGCCAGAACTTTCTGCCGGAGCTTACATCTGGTAAACGCGTAGAAGAAGAAGAAGAAAAGAAAGAAGAAGAAAAAGAAAGCTAATGATACGGAATAATTTAGAGACTGTTCGTGTCATTTTTTTTATGTGGTATAATTCATCTTCTTTTATGGTCTGAAATTTCACAAATTAAAATGGCCTAACTACACTGGTATTTTAAAATATAACTTTTCTCTATTTCTAGTTCAGTCCTTCCTCTCTCTGTTTCTCAGTCTGTATCCCTCAACCCTACTTCCTTCTGTCTCCTTCTCTACACCACCCTTCACTTCCTCATTCGCTCTCTTAATCCATCCCTTTTCTCTCTTTTCTCCAGTTTCTCTTGTTCTGCCTCCCTCTCTGACTCGCTTTCATCTTGTGTTAAGGGTGCTGCACACAGTCATTTTTTTTTTACTTTGAAGGTGTAAACATTGGTGTCACCTTCAGTAAAAATGTGATGTTTTTGTCAGCATAAAGATATACATCATTATACTTTTCCACAATTATGATTTTCAAGTCAGTTAACTAAATTTATAACTCACTCAACAGTATACTCAGTTAGATATCACCACTCAAACAATATACTCAGATATCACAACTCAAACAGTATACTCAGTTAGATGTCACAACTCAAACAATATACTCAGATATCACAACTCAAACAGTATACTCAGTTAGATGTCACAACTCAAACAATATACTCAGATATCACAACTCAAACAATATAGTCAGTTAGATATCACAACTCAAACAGTATACTCAGAT